ACAGCTGCTGGGATATGCAAACTAGATCATGAATATGCATAAGGCCTATGAATATGCAAAATGATGTAATGGGTAAGGTATTTAAGGGGTATCCCTGAGGGTGATGTGTGCTCCTGGCCGAGTGCTTTATAGAAATCTCTGCTTTATTGTCTTTGTCTCCTACTGTCCTCTATTAAACTTTTCCAATTGTTTACCTGGGTTAAATTCACCTGAGTAAATGCTCACAGCTGTGTGGGGGCCACTCACTGGCCACAAACTGCCCAGGGATTCTTCTGGAAAGGCTAAAGAAACTCAGAGAAAAGGATTGGAAACAATTCTTATAAACATTCTTATTGTTCATCGTTAGAAACAATTCTTAGAATTGGAAACAATTCCTATAAACATTCTTATTGTTCATTGTTAGAAACAATTCTTAGAATTGGAAACAATTCTTAACTCGCTGCACCTGGTGTTATGAACACGAGGAATGTGTCATGGAAATATATTCACCAAAATTATATTATATTATATTATATTATATTATATTATATTATATTATATTATATTATATTATATTATATTATATTATATTATATTATATTATATTATATTATATTATATTATATTACATTATATTATATTATATTATATTACATTATATTATATTACATTTAGCCAAAAGTGATGGTGTTTTAATTAAAACACCAATCAGGTCCACCTGTAATGAACTAGAGTATAAAAATTCGTGGGTTTTTAATAAAGTTTTTAAAATAAAATGTTTTTTTCCTTATTAAGTCTTTTGAGAATGCAAGGAGTGTGCCACTCATTTATTTATCTGTGCCATTTCTGACTCGATGGTGACAAATGTTATTTTGGGGCTCCAGAAGATGAAAACCACAGGAACACAGTGTTTGTGTTTGTGTTTGTGTTTGTGGTTTTCACATTCCAGAGCCCCAAAGCCTCGAGTGTCCCCTCCCTTTTCCACCCTCACCAAGCTGGATCTGGGTTCTGACCACAATTCCAGCAGGAGCCCCTGTGGACCAAAAAATTTAAGAAATAAATTTATTAGATAGAAATTCTGTCTCACCCATCACATGAGATTAAAAATAGAATAAAAGGTTTTTTTAAATGCCTCTCATTAAGATTAAGCCATCTCTAGATCAGAAAAAAACCTAATCCAACAGTCAGAAATTGGAAAAAATCCAAAAACTAAAGCCAAGAAAGACCCTCCAGAGCATGCAGGAGCTGCTTTTTTAAAATAATTTCTGATACTTTTTGCAGAGAATATCTGTGTTTCTAAATAGCTCAAACATTGTGCCCACATGAGGATTCTAGAGGAGAATTATTTCAGAGACAGAGGATTTTTCAAGCCTGATAGAAGGTTTCTAAATTTGGGATTTCTATGTAAACTTGGAGATAAGAAATGTTGATTTAGAAACGTTATAGAATAAGACAGACATTGAGAGAGACATGGAACTAGAAATAAGTTTTAAAGGGTAGTTTTGTAAATGAGATTAAGATCATTTTGGAAAAATGGAATTAGGAAAGATGTAATTGGATTTACCAGAGGTAATTTTAGATTATTGGTTTGAAGGGATTTTTAGTAAAATGTAGTTAAAGGTGATCGATTAATGAACACTTATAATGTGTTTTAATTAAGAAATAGTTGGGGTTTGATTGTGAGGGTATATTTGTATATATTTGTATATATATTGTATAATATTTGTATTGTCTCACCTTTCACATGAAACTAAAAATGGAACCAAAGTTTTGAAAATTCCTCTCAGCTCCCAGCCCCATCTCTGGGTCAGCAAAAGGCAAAATCTGAGAAATGACCTCAGGCAGCTCCTGCTGCCCTCCCTGGCAAATCACCACAGAGAAAACAAAGGTGGAAAATGTTCTTATTTCAACAAATCAGCACCAGACTCACAGAAATTTTAGGTTTTGCACCACTTCAATGCCATTTTTTTCCCCCAAATTTACAATCCCACAATGAACTTTCCTCCTTCAGCACCCTCAGGCTGAGCAACTCCACCACAGACTGAGACATCCAATGCAAAGGTTTGTATTAAAAATTATATATATTGTGTCAAATAAAGCCATTGTTCTGTGTACAAATTTATACATGACAAAAAATAAAACTCTTTGAATAACACTGTGTGAAAAATAAAACAACAAAAAACCAAAAAGTGCTGGCTGCTGTTCTGCTCTATGAATTCTAGAAGCAACAGGCATTAATTAGTAAACACCTAAACTGCACTGCAGGACTCAGGTAAGGCACAAAATTCGATTTTTAGGGGTGAAAATAATTCTCTTTTCCTCTGCCAGGCTCCTTTAGCTGCTGGGGATTTTAAGGAAAAGCACTGGAAAATGCAGCATCAGGCTCTGAACCACCTGGCAGAGCCAGAAATGCTCCAGAGCCACTTCTCAGCTCCTTCCTCCTCCTCTTCCTCCAGTTTTTGGCCTTTGATCTGAGTTTAGACAGCTTTGAATCCAAAAATGAGAACATCACTGATGGCTGCTCACACAGGAAGCTGGGAGAGTCTGGAATTCTGAACAATCTGAATTCTCCTCAGGCATTTTTGGATTCAATCTCAATTCTCCAAACCATTTTTTGACTCTGTGACTGAATTCTCCTCAGTCATTTTCTGGATTCAATCTCAATTCTCCATTTCTTGATTCTGTGACTGAATTCTCCTCAGGCATTTTTTGGATTCAATCTCAATTCTCCATTTCTTGATTCTGTGACTGAATTCTCCTCAGGCATTTTCTGGATTCAATCTCAATTCTCCATTTTTTGACTCTGTGACTGAATTCTCCTCAGGCATTTTCTGGATTCAATCTCAATTCTCCATTTTTTGACTCTGTGACTGAATTCTCCTCAGGCATTTTCTGGATTCAATCTCAATTCTCCATTTCTTGACTCTGTGACTGAATTCTCCTCAGGCATTTTCTGGATTCAATCTCAATTCTCCAAACCATTTTTTGACTCTGTGACTGAATTCTCCTCAGTCATTTTTGGATTCAATCTCAATTCTCCATTTCTTGACTCTGTGACTGAATTCTCCTCAGGCATTTTTTGGATTCAATCTCAATTCTCCATTTTTTGACTCTATGACTGCTGCCAGAGCACTGGGAGGAGATGAGAAATGGAAACAAATTGAAATGTTCAGCTCATCACAAAGCAAATGTAAAATGCAGCCACATTTCTCTTCTGTTGAAGTTTTCCACAAAGAAAATATTCTTCAAAGCAACAGGCACAGGATTTCTTAGGTAATAAGGAGGTTTTTTACATATAGATGTATTTTTTTTAATCCTCACTTCCTTTTCCACCCTTTCACACCTGGGTTTTCAGTCTGGATGGCACTGACAGTGCAGCAGAGCTGATCAGGAAGAGAGCACTGAAGTCTCATCAGCTCTTTCACTCTCCCAATGAAGCATCCCAGAGAATTTTCTGGAATTTTTTCTCTGAACTTGGCTCAGAGAAACTGCTTTGAACCATGTCTGAGTGACCCAGCTGTGGCTGTGCTCTTGTTAAAATCCAGAGGAGCAGCAAGGACCTGCTCCCAAAACTGCTGTAAAATCCAGCAGCTCCAGGGCACAGGGTCCATCCACGTGCCTCACCTCAAAATTCTTCTTTGTGAGCATCAAATTCCTTCTTCAGAGCATCAAAATCCTTCTTCAGAGCATCCCAGAGTGCCTGGCTCACCTGCACAGACGAGATCAGCAAGGGAGGAGCTGCTCTGCTCCAGCAAAGCTCAGGGAGAGCCTCAGCAGGGTCAGGAAGGGCAGTTCTGGGCCCAGAGCCTCAGGATGAGCCTTTTTCTCTGCAAAACAGCTCCCCAAAAATCACTGCTGCCTTTAGGATGGCACAGAACTGACTAAAGAAGCAAAATCCAGAGGAGCAGCAAGGACCTGCTCCCAAAACTGCTGTAAAATCCAGCAGCTCCAGGGCACAGGGTCCCTCCATGTGTCTCACCTCAAAATTCTTCTTTATGAGCATCAAAATCCTTCTTTAGAGCATCAAAATCCTTCTTCAGGGAGAGCCTCAGCAGGGTCAGGAAGGGCAGTTCTGGGCCCAGAGCCTCAGGATGAGCCTTTTTCTCTGCAAAACACCTCCCCAAAGTCACTGTTTCCTTTAGGATGACACAACTGACTAAAGAAGCAAAATCCAGAGGAGGACCAGGCACCTGCTCCCAAAACTGCTGTAAAATCCAGCAGCTCCAGGGCACAGAGTTCATCCAGGTGTGGAGCTTCTGCCTCACCTGAAAATCCTTCTTCAGAACATCAAAATCCTTCTTTAGAGCATCAAAATCCTTCTTCAGAACATCAAAATCCTTCTTTAGAACATCAGAATCCTTCTTTAGAGCATCAAAATCCCTCTTTAGAGCATCCCAGAGTGCCTGGCTGCCCTGCACAGGGGAGGAGCTGCTGGGCCTCCCTGCTCTGCTCCAGCAAAGCTCAGGGAGAGCCTCAGCAGGGTCAGGAAGGGCAGTTCTGGGCCCAGAGCCTCAGGATCTGCCATTTTCTCTGCAAAACACCTCCCCAAAGTCGCTGTTTCCTTTAGGATGGCACAGAGCTGACCAAAGAAGGCAGTGCCCCATTGCCAGCAGGATTTGGAACAGGGAGGCAGCTCCAAGCTGTGCTTTCTCCAGCTCATCCCACTCCAGGTGCTGTTTGCAGCAGGAAAATCCCATCCCAGGTGTTCCTGCCCTGCTGCCAGGTCCCAGCTGCCTTCAGGACAAAGGGGGATGGAGTTTGGAAGGGGCTGCTCAGGAGGTGGTGCAGTCACTGTCCCTGGAGGTGCCTGAAGGACTGGATGTGGCCCTGGATGCTCTGCTCTGGGTGGTGCTGGGTCTCTGATCCCAGAGATCTTTCCAGTTCAATGATCCTGTGATTCTGGCTCGTTTACATCCCTCCTACAGCACTGATCTCTTGGGTAAAGCTGCACACAAGGATTCCATGTCCATTTTCCTGGAAAGAAATCTGTCCCACGAGGGCACAAGAAATTCCAGCCAAGGCCATGACACTTTGTTCAGCCTCTCACACTGTGGGCTGTCATTGTGGAGAGCAGCAAAATCCCCTTTTCCAACTGGGAAAACCACAGATTCAGTGAGGCTGGGTCCAACTCCAGGAATGTTTTGCACAGTTCAGCTCCCAGGGCGCTGTGACCAAGGACAAACACTCCAAAGTGCGGGGCCACCAACCCATGGGCCTTGCTGGCCAACACCTGCTGGGTCCAGTACAAACAAATGACAACAAACAAAGTACAACTGTCCCTGGGTGTGAAGTTCAACACCCAGAATCAAGGCAACAGGGTTCTAAAGAAAAACAACAGGCAGGGTTGGGCATTCCCTCCCTCACAAAGTCCCCTCAGGTGTCACACGTCCCCTCAGCATCATCACCGAGCTCCTCTGCCTACAAAAGGTCACAGCTTTTGTCCTGTTCTGCAGAGGAAGTTGCTGTTCAAGTGACTGAATCCTTCTTCCTCCTAAAGGGGGACTTGAGTCTTTTCCAGACGCTGCTTTTGGGCTTGGATTTCTTCTCCATGGCCATCACGGCCTCCTTCTCCTTGCGGCGGATCTCGCGCACCAGCGCGTGGAACACGTCGTCGATGTAGTAGCGGAACGCGGCCGACGTCTCAAAGAAGGGGCAGCTGAACTCCCTGGCCAGGGCAGAGCCTTCCTCCTTGGACACCTGCAAAACAACAGCACAGCCTGCTCAGGGAGTCAAACCCCAGGGTTTATTCCTGTGCCTTGCCCTGGTTTGTGCTCCAAGCTCCAAAGGTTTCCCATGCTGAGGCAGAGCCTTCCTCCTGTGACACCTGAAAATGAGTGCACACCCTGGTCAGGGAAGCCAAACTCCAGGAGTTTATTCCTTGTCCTTTCCCTGTTTTGCTCTCTGTCCCTCTGTATGGACACTCCAAGCCCCAGCACACATTGATTCCATTCAGTTCCAAAGGATGGATTCCAACCATGCTAAGGCAGAGCCTTCCTCCTGTGACACCTGGAAAATGAGTGCACACCCTGGGCAGGGAAGCCAAACCCCAGGAGTTTATTTCTTCTCCTGTCCCTGTTTTGCTCTCTGTCCCTCTGTATGAACACTCCAAACCCTAACACAGATCATTCCCAGCCAGCTCCAAAGGTTTCCCATGCTAAAGCAGAGCCTTCCTCCTTGGACACCTGAAAATGAGGGCACACCCTGGTCAGGGAAGCCAAACCCCAGTAATTTATTTCTTCTCCTGTCCCTGTTGTGCTCTCTGTCCCTCTGTATGGACACTCCAAGCCCCAGCACACATTGATTCCATTCAGTTCAAGGATTGATTCCAATCGTGCTAAGGCAGAGCCTCCCTCCTTGGACACCTGGAAAATGAGGGCACACCCTGGGCAGGGAAGCCAAAGCCCAGTAATTTATTTGTTCTCCTGTCCCTGTTGTGCTCTCTGTCCCTCTGTATGAACACTCCAAACCCTAACACAGATCATTCCCAGCCAGCTCCAAAGGTTTCCCATGCCAAGGCAGAGCCTCCCTCCTTGGACACCTGGAAAATGAGGGCACAGCCTGCTCAGGGAAGCCAAACCCCAGCAATTTATTTCTTCTCCTTTCCCTGTTTTGCCCTCTGTCCCTCTGCTCCAAGCCCAGATCATTTCCACGCATCTCCAAAGGTTTCCCATGCCAAGGCAGAGCCTTCCTCCTGTGACACCTGGAAAATGAGGGCACACCCTGCTCAGGGTTCCAACAGATTTTGTTTCTCTTAAACTTCAAGGTCTTGAGCATGTGATGTTACACACTTCTATTCAAACTCCACACCCATATTCCCAGTTCTATCCTTCATTTTTGGAAGCCTTCTCCATGGCCTCAGGTGAAGTGCAGTGTTCTCTTGCAGGTATTTTTTCTCTTAAACTCTAAGTTTTCCACCATGGGATATTACACACTTCTATTACAACTACACACTCCTAATCTCAGTTTTATCATTCAATTTTGGAAGGCTTCAGGTCAAATGCAATGCTCTCTTGGGGGTCAGTGCCTGGCAGCACAGAGAGTTTAAAATTCTCAGTCACCAGGGTTATGACAGACTTTGTTTCTCTTAAACTCTGAGTTTTTACCATGTGATATGGTAAAAACTTCAAACTGCACACTCATACTAGTTCTACATTCACTTTTGGAAGCCTTCTCCAGGGCCTCAGGTCAAATGCAGTGTTCTCTTGTTCTGTCAGCAAAAAAAGTCTAAAATTCTCACTAACCAGGGTTCCACCCCACTTTGTTTCTCTTAAACTCTAAGTTCTTTACCATGTGATATCACCTCCTCACCCATAATACAGCTCTATCACCCAATTTTGGAAGGCTAAATGCAGCGTTCTCTTGTTCTGTCAGCACAGAAAGTCGAAAATTCTCAGTAACCAGGCTTTGTTTCTCTTAAACTCTTAAGTTCTTTACCATGTGATATCACATACTTCTAATCAACTCCTCACCCATAACACAGCTCTATCACCCAAGTTTGGAAGGCTTTAGGTCAAATGCAGTGTTCTCTTGTTCTGTCAGCAAAAAAAGTCTAAAATTCTCAGTAACCAGGCTTCCACCCCATTTTGTTTCTCTTAAACTCTAAGTTCCTTACCATGTGGTATCACATACTTCTAATCAACTCCTCACCCATAACACAGCTCTATCACTCAATTTTGGAAGGCTAAATGCAGTGTTCTCTTGTTCTGTCAGCACAGAAAGTCTAAAATTCTCAGTAACCAGGCTTCCACCCCACTTTGTTTCTCTTAAACTCTAAGTTCTTTACCACGTGATATCACCTCCTCACCCATAATACAGCTGTATCACTCAATTTTGGAAGGCTTCAGGTCAAATGCAGCATTTTCTTGTTCTGTCAGCACAGAAAGTCTAAAATTCTCAGTAACCAGGCTTTGTTTCTCTTAAACTCTTAAGTTCCTTACCATGTGGTATCACATACTTCTCATCAACTCCTCCCCCATAATACAGATCTATCTATCACTCAATTTTGGAAGGCTTCAGGTCAAATGCAGTGTTCTCTTGTTCTGTCAGCACAGAAAGTCGAAAATTCTCAGTAACCAGGCTTTGTTTCTCTTAAACTCTAAGTTCTTTACCATGTGATATCACATACTTCTCATCAACTCCTTACCCATGATACAGCTCTATCACTCAGTTTTGGAAGGCTAAATGCAGTGTTCTCTTGCTCTGTCAGCACAGAAAGTCAAAAATTCTCACTAACCAGGGTTCCAGCAAGGAACAACATTTTGTTTCTGTGGCTGCTACAGGCACCTGTTTACCACCACACTCTGCATAAAACCAGCGCCGCTCTCAGCGCTGAAACAACCCAACAAAACACCGAGGAAAGGCCAAACCCCTCTGGTTCCTGTGCCCTTCCCAGGAGCAGCAGCTGCTGAGGAGGGGCTCCCCTGGGCCTCACCTGGCGCAGCTGGGTCAGGTCAGACTTGTTGCCCACCAGCACCACGGGGGTGTCGTCGGTGCGGCGCACGCGGTAAATGAGCTGCTTGAACTCGCGCACCTCGTGGAAGCTGCGCCGGTCCGTGATGGAGTAGCAGATGATGAAACCTTCTCCTGCCCTCATGTACTGGTCCCTCATGGCTGTGAACTCTGCCTGCAAACACAAAATGGCATTTGAGCTCCACACAGATCCAGGGGTGTTTGAGCTCCATGCAGATCCAGGGGTATTTTAGTTTGTATTTTCAAATTTTTAATTATAAATGGAATTGTGGGCATGTGCTCTCTGTTGATGGAGTGACTTCAATTATTCTTTGTCCAGAAGCCCAGAAGTTTCTCTCCTCAATTTGATACAAAGACACCTCTTAGAACCTTTGGAGTTATTTCAATTATTCTTTGTCTGCTTAAAAAGGCAAAAAGCCCAGAAGTTTCTCTCCTCAATTTGATACAAAGACACTCATAGGACCTTTGGGACTTCACCTCAGACCTGGAGCTGCCTGACTGGAGGTCCCACCTGGGTAACTCAGGAGAAGAAGAAGAGAACAAAGGAAATAATCCCTTTTGGGGGGTGTTTTGTGGGGTGACCTCTGCCTACAAACACAAAATGGCATTTTAGTTCCATACAGCTCCAGTGGCATTTTAGTTCATGTTTTCAAATTTTCATGTTTTCAAATTTTCATATTTTCAAATTTCCAAATTTTCAAATTTTCAATTACAAATAGAATTGTAGGGATGTGTCCCCTACAATTTTACATCCCTCCTACAGCACTGATCTCTTGGATGAAGTTGCACACAAGGATTCCACGTCCATTTTCCTGGAGAGAAATGTGTCCCTTGAGGACATGAGAAATTCCAGCCAAGAAATTTGGTGACATCCAAGGCCATGGGACTGGGTCACACTGGATGGAGTGACTTCAATTATTCTGTGCTTAAAAGGGCAAAAAGCCCAGAAATTTCTCTCCTCAATTTGGTACAAAGACACCTCTTAGGACCTTTGGAATTCCTTCAATTATTCTTTGTTTGCTTTAAAAAGGCAAAAAGCCCAGAAGTTTCTCTCTCAATTTGATACAAAGACACCTCATGGGACATTTGGGACTTCACTTCAGACCTGGGGCTGTCCAACTGGGGGTCCCACCTGGGTAATTCACTCAAAAAAGAAGAGAACAAAGGAAATCATCCCTTTTGGGGGGTGTTTCAGCAGGAGCAAGAACCCCTTGCCCCTGGCTTGGTTTTTCTCTGTAAGAGCTTTTTTATTTTGCCTCTTATTAAACTTTTTTCTGTTTCCAACACTACCTCAGAAGCCATCCTGTTAATTTTAGGCCATTTGGGGTAGAGAGGAGAGGAGAGGAGAGGAGAGGAGAGGAGAGGAGAGGAGAGGAGAGGAGAGGAGAGGAGAGGAGAGGAGAGGAGAGGAGAGGAGAGGAGAGGAGAGGAGAGGAGAGGAGAGGAGAGGAGAGGAGAGGAGAGGAGAGGAGAGGAGAGAAGAGAAGAGAAGAGAAGAGAAGAGAAGAGAAGAGAAGAGAAGAGAAGAGAAGAGAAGAGAAGAGAAGAGAAGAGAAGAGAAGAGAAGAGAAGAGAAAAGAGAGAAGAGGACCTATCACATAATGACTTCCTGGTTTTCTCACCACACCTGGTTTTTTCTCCAAACCCAGCTGTGTGAACACCTGGGTGTCAGTGTCCCCACCCCAAAAAGCAGGCCATGTTTGGGATGGTCCCCAAACCTGCCCTGACCCAGAAACCCCACTGACACACGATTTACCAGCAGCTGGTGGTTGGTTGGTTTGGGTTTAGGTGTTTTCTCTGATTTATTAAGTGAAGAGATGTGGATGGTCAGAGAAGAAAGTCAGATAAACTTTCCTCTGTGAAGTTTTGGGAAAGTTCAGAGAAGGAATTCAAACAATTCTCAATCTTTGCAGCTGCTGCTGTTTACTTGTGAGAGGTGCAAGAAGGGGCTGCTCCTGATGAGACAATGGTGTCAGGGGTGTTGACTGAGGACTCACCAGCTCCACCTGAATCACAACTGTCTATAAAATTATCTGGCTTTTAATCAAATTGCATTTTACCCTCTGAGACCCAGGAGCCTTTGTGCCACTTTATTCATCCATCCTCAATACAACAGAGTTCCAGTACTTAGAGGTTTTACTTAATATAGGTTTTTAAATTTTGTTTGCAATAATTTGTGACTTAGATAATGAAGAGAATAAAGACTTGAATAATTTGCTAATGTATTCTGTAAATATTTTTAATTTTGTAGAGCTTTTGTAGAGCTTGACTTAAAGGTTTTACTTAGTATAGGTCTTTAAAACTTAATTTTGTTTGCAATAATTTGTGACTTAGATAATGAATAAACACTTGAATAATTTAATAAATAAAATAAATTATATATAATCATATTATTATATATTATATATAATATATAAATATATTTATATTAATATTATTATATTATATATTAATATTAATGCATTAATGCATTAACATTAATATATTAATATAAATATATTAATATATTATAATATATGATAATTATAATATTATGAATAATTTGTAAATAAAATAAATAATATATATTATATTACATATAATATATTAATATTATTATATTATATATTAATATTAATGCATTAATATTAATATATTAATATCAGTATATTAATATACTGTATTATATAATATATAATATATTATATGTTATATAATATATTAATATTAATGCATTAATATATTAATATTAGTATATTAATATATTATATTATATATATGATTATATTATTATGAATAATTTCATAAATAAAATAAAGTATTCTGTAAATCTTTTGAATTTCGTAAAGCTTAATTAAGGTAATCTTTTTTTAAAGGTAAATAGATAATTCCAAAGTTTTGGTTTGTTATAGTTAGCAATCTCATTCAGGTTGTAATTATAATTTGTTATTTTGATAGTTGTAAAACTTGGTTCTTTTTTATTGATGGTTACCTGAAAAGGTAAATTGAGGAGTATTTTTTGAATGCTGAAAAAACCCTTTTTAAAGTTGATGATAACAAGAGATGAGTTTCTTGGAATTACTGAAAGAGAAGGAAGTTTAGCCTGTAGATGTTTCATGTTTTTTATGCTTTTGTTGATCTTCTTGAGGTCTTTAGGTGAAGCAGGTGCTGCTGGTTCAGCAGAGCCACAGCTCCAGTGCTGGGTTTGCAATAAACCCAAGCCAATAAAATACAACATAACCATTCCTCAAGCAGGATTTCTGTCCCTCCAGCTGATCACTGGAGGCTGTTTCACTGCTCTCAATTCCCCTGGCATTGCTCACATACCTGTCCTGCTGTGTCCAAAATATCCAGGTTGGCAGGCTCGTCGTCGATGCGGATCCGGATTTTATAGGCATCCTCTGCATCCCCAGGACAGCAAAAAATTGGGATATAAGGACAACATTCATCAGAAAATGCTACCCCAGGAGCACCCAGCCTGCCAGGAGCACTGCACTACCTTTGTTTCAATTAAATCAAGTTAAATTTCTAACTGTTCTGCTGTGATTTAACATTCCACGTGCAAAACTCGTGTGCCCACAGCACAGAAATTCATTTTGGTCACCTTGGTGGAAAACACAGAGGAATAACACTTTGTTTTCCTCAAAGCCAGAAAAGATCTGTGATTCAAGGGAAGAACTTGTCACCAATGAATGCTGATTTCTTAGAATATATAATTTCTTAAAATTATAATGCATATCAGCAAAATATATGAAACATTACATATGTAAATGTTATATATTATATATGTAAATATTATTTATAAACACCATATAAAAATGATCTGCCTACAAATATATAAATACACAAATATTCTGTCCCTCTCAACACTGCCACACTTTAAGAACCCATTCTCAGCAAGAATTTGGCTTTTTCCCCTCCACTTTTCCTTCCACTGGTTTGGTTCAGGTTTCTCCTGGAGAGAAACCCGAGGTTCTACAGCACCAGAGTGAGCTGTTGAGCACTTTCACCCCTCTCAATTTCTCAAACACAGAGAACAATTTGGCCTGACAAGTGAACAGCAAAGAGCTGACCACAGCAAAGAGCCTGGAATTTGTGAATAGAGAACTAAAATGGCTGAGCAGCAGTTTCAGACCCTGGCTGCCAGCACAGACAGACACAGGGCATGCCCTGAATGGATGGATGGAAAATGATTAAAGGGCTGAAACTCAGGATTCACACCCCACTCTCAGAACTCTCAAATCACAGAAACACAGAGAGGGCTCAGGTTGGAAGGGACCACAGCAGATCAGCTGCAGGGACATCCCAGGGCTGGGGCCAGGTGGCTCTGGATCCCCAGGCAGGGACACCCCAGGGCTGTTGCAGGTGGCTCTGGGATCCCCAGGCAGGGACACCCCAGGGCTGTTGCAGGTGGCTCTGGGATCCCCAGGCACGGAGGCTCCACAGCCTCTCTGGGCTCTGCTCAGCGCTGGGCACTGCCCAGGGCAGCAGCTCTGCCTCCTGGCCAGGGGCAGCTCCTGGGCTCAGGCCCTGCCCGTGGCTCTGGGGCCATTGCTGGGCCTGGAGCAGAGCCTGGGGCTGCTCTGACCTCTGCACACAGGGACGGACTGGGACAGACTGGGACAGACAGACTGGGACAGACAGACTGGGACACCCAGAGACACCCATGGAAACCCAGAGACACCCAGGCCCCTCAGCATCTTTGTCACCCTGCAGGAGCTCCCTGGCCCTGCTGTGCTGAGGGTGCCAGAGCTGGGCACAGCCCTGCAGAGGTTCAGAATGCTCCGGCTGATGAGTGATCAGAGATCAACCTACAGCCAGATATACAGATATCTTTGAATTGAATACTTTACAATACTTTACTGTTACAGCTTAACCTGCCAAGGGAATGAATGAAAAGAGATTTTCCTCACCGATGGTGGGATCATGATCCTCTGGGAAGCGGTGACTGATGAACTGCATGGTCATGGCTAGAAGCAGAAACCAGGGAACAATGAGCAGCTCGGCTCCCCTGATCGTTACCCCAGAGCCCCGGCACAGACCCAAACCGAGCACGGCCCGCACCGAGCGGGGGCTGCCCTCGGCCCGGGGATGCTCCGCCCGTGTCCAAAGGCGGGACCAGCTCCGGGACGCGGCCAGAGGCGGAAAGCGACGAGCGGGACATCTCGGGAGGGGCCGGGACAGCCCGGGATGGGCAGGGACACCTCGGGACGGAGGAGCCGTGATGTCCCAAGAGGGGCCGGACACCTCGGGTGGGGCCGGGACAGCCCAGCGGGGATACTCCGGGATGGGCCGGGACATCTCGGGAGGGGTCGGGACAGACCGGCAGGGACACCCCGGGAGGGTCGGGACACCTCGGGAGCGGCGGCACCGCGCCCAGAACGGGGCTCCGGTCAGGGAACGCGGCTCCCCCCGGCCCTGCGGGGTCCCGGGGCCGGCGGCGGCCGCAGCCCCGCACTCACCGCTCTTGCCGACGCCTCCCGCGCCCAGCATCACCAGTTTGTACTCGCGGGACTGCCCCGGGGCGCCGCCGCCGCCCGGGCGGGCTCCGGGATCCATCGCCGCCCCCTCAGCGCTGCCCCGGCCCCGCTCACAGCGACACCGAAATGGCGGCGGCTCCTCCGCCTCAGCGCCCGCCCGGGCCCGCCCCGGCCGGGGAGCGCAGCGGGCGGGGCCCGACGGCGGCTCGGCGGGGACAGGACGGGACAGGACGGGACATAGCGGGGACAGGACGGGACGGGAACACAACGGGACACGGCGGGGACACAACGGGACACGGCAGGGACACAACGGGACACGGCGGGGACACAACGGGACAGGACGGGACATAGCGGGGACATACCGGGACAGGACGGGACATAGCGGGGATAGGACGGGACGGGAACACAACGGGATACGGCGGGGACACAAATGGGACACGGCGGGACATAGCGGGGACAGGACGGGACAGGACGGGAACACAACGGGACACGGCGGGGACACAACGGGACACGGCGGGACATAGCGGGATCAGGACGGGACACGGCGGGGACACAACGGGACATAGCGGGGACACGGGGAGGACCCAAGGGGCACAGGACGGGACACGGCGGGGACACGATGGGACGCAACGGGACATAGCGGGGACACGACGGGACACAACGGGACATGGCACTGCCCTCGGGACCCCCAGCCCCGGGACTCCTGTCCGGATCTCGGGGTCTCTGTCAGCTCCCGGCTCCCCTCCCACCTGCACTCCCTGCCCCATCCCCAGCACCCAGGGACTCGCCCCAGCTCCGAACCCCCTCTCCAGCCCCAGATCCCCCCAGCCCCTCGGTTCCCCCCAGCCCGAACCCCTCTCCCAACCCCTCCGCCTCCGGGGATCCCCCGATCCTTGGGGACCCCCAATCCCGGACCCCCTCCCATCCCTGAGGGCTCCTCCAGCCCCAGAACTTCCCCACAGCTCCTTGGCCCCAGGGCTCCCCCCAGCCCTGCATCCCCCCCACCCTTATCACAGGCTCCAAAGCTCGGGGATTCCCCGATCCTGGGGGATCCCCAACCCTGAACCCCATCCCATCCCTGAGGGCTCCTCCAGCCCCAGAACTTCCCCACAGCTCCTTGGCCCCAGGACTTCCCCAGCCCTGCATCCCTCCCACCCTTATCACAGGCTCCAAACCTCGCCCAAAGCAGCAGCAGGAAGCAGAATATTTATACATTTATTTATAATGAAAGTATGGTTCTAATTATTTACAACACATGGGGAAGCCGAGGTTTGTACAGGTGAGGCATCCCTGGCTGCAGCAGTGACGCAGCCCCTTCTCAAAACCACAGCTCCTGTCCCAAAAGCTGCCCAGTGCCCTGGAGCAGTCCCTGTGTCACTGCTCAATGCAGGAGTTCTGGCTGCAGCAGCCCACCCCACTCAGCCCCCAGTGCAGTTCACGTCCAAAAACAACAGTCCAAAAACTCATTCCCAGGTTCTGCATGTGAGGCAGGAGCTGCTGCCCTTTGGGAAACCACTGTGGAACCTTCTGGCTCTGGTGGAATCCAGTGAGTGAGGGAGGAGATGGGGGTGAGCCTCTGGAAAAGGAATTCCTGCTGAGTTGGAGTCCCGGGGTGACTGGAAACAATTCAGCACTAGGGCTACAGTGCCAAGTCCACCTGGAGCAAAGTGAACCTATCCAAAAACCTGAGCATCCCCCACCCCAACATCTGGCCAGAATGAGAACTTGTGGGACTGGTAAAATCACATTTCAAAAATAAAACCAAGCTGAGTTACAGGAGATGTCTGAAATAAAACCAAGAGTTTTCCAAACGTGATGCTCAAGTTTTTCATGACTGCTGGATGTTTCTTCCCTCTGGTGAAAGTCCAAAATTGAGGCTGAGTCACCAGTAGATCAATGGGGCCGACAGCAGGAGCGCTCCAAAAATGCAAAGGCAGAGTGAAGTCAGTGTCACTGACTCTTCCCTTTATCTGGGAGGAACTGAAAATATGGCCCAAGAGGCTCCCCTGGTTCCTCTTTACAGCACTCCCTTGCACAAGGGACTAGGCCAGCCAGGATGCTACTCCAAATACTCCTTTTTAAAATTGACAAATACACTGCCAAAATGAAGATTTTAAAAAACAATGGAGCCCTTCCAAGGGGAAATTGGCTTCTGCAAATGTAAAAACAACGCCTCTTTGCCAAGTTCATTCTGGAATATACATGCATTATTGCTAGAGGGGGAAAAATCAGATGAATGAAAACTCTTGTGCAGTTTTTTTATGGTGCCATCCAGAAAGGCATCTGTTGTTTAGCTCGCTGTTGTGAGGATGGGTACTGGTACCCCAAACTCCAGCCCTGTGAAAAAGTACTTGCGTTTTTATGGCCACCGTGTTCCTCCTCTTCATCTGAAGAATCTCCAGCATAGGCCACTAATCCAAAGCCCTTCTCTGCAGTTTTCATCTTCTTGGCTTGATGATCTAGGAGGGGAAAACAAAACAAGGCCCCCAGCCCCCCCCCAAGAAGGAAAATAATAAAAACAAAACAAATAAAAAGAGATAAAACGCCCCAAAAACGAGTTAATAATAATAAAAAAAGATGTTAATTGTAAATTGTTAGTTGGACACCATTTTGAGGTCACAAGGCCAATGGTCATCCAAGGTCGAAGGCCACAGGAAACAGCACCAGCAACAGCCATGTGATCCATCAGAACCATGTAAGAGAACAGAGAAACAAGAAAGAAACACACAGAAAAGGTAAAGTTAGCAAATGGCTCTCAGGGAGGGCAATTTCACCGTTAAAGAGATCAACACGTAAAGAAAAGTAGAAATTTTGCTCAAAAGGAAGCTAACAGGAGAGCAATGTCTGGGAGCAAGACTGCAGAAGAACTAAGGTTAAACAGGCTGGGTGATGTCCCTGCAGAGCTGAGAGCACTGAGCTGTCTGCAGAGATCAACAACTGCAAGTCTGACAGGTTCAAACCTTGCTGAGTGACAGGAAAGATGAAATCCTGGCAGCACTTGTGCTGTCTGCAGCCAGAAATGTGTGGAAATGTGTGGAAATCCCCACCTGAGCAGAATTCTCCCCATGATCCTCAGTGCCTCTGAGGCAGCTGCTCACAATACAAAGCCACTAAACAACCCCACCACATTTTGTGCTGCCTGATGGGCCAAATCTCCCTGTCTTTAGTCCCTCACTTAATCAAAATCTCCTCATTTCATACAGATATTTCTTAAAGCTTTGAGAAGCAACCTGTGCATAACAATGCAACGCCACAAAACAACCCCACCATATTCTGTGCTGCCTGAGGGGTCAAAACTCCCTGTCTTTAGTCCCTCACTTGGTTAAACTCCCTTCATTTCATACAGATATTTATTAAAGCTTTGAGAAGCAACCTGTGTGCATAACAATGCAAAGCCACAAAACAACCCCACCACATTCTGTGCTGCCTGATGGGCCAAATTTCCCTGTCTTTAGTCCCTCACTTAATCAAACTCCCTCATTTCATACAGATATTTATTAAAGCTTTGAGAAGCCACCTGTGTGTATAACCACAGCAAGCACCAGTGATTTTAGAGCAGTGCAACATCACCTGCTTTGCACTTCAACACACAACAGCCAAAAAACCCCACCAGTTTAGGCAAATGTTAAAACCAGCACCATTTGGGAGAGGAAACTGGACTTAGAAGGGTGTTTGGGAAAGGAAACTGGACTTGCAGGGGTGTGTGACCCATTGCACTCACCATGGTTGCCTGGCAAAGACCCCGCACCTTTTCTTTCTTCCGATTCCGATTTCATTCCAGTGACAGGAAAAGCTGGTGGAGGCATCAACTGCCTGTTTAAAACAAGATTGTTTCTTTTGTAAACCAAGCTAAGAGTCAAAAGTAATAAACATCACATTCCTAACTCAGATCTTGGGCTGAGGAGTTGAACTTAAAACTCCTTGATTCTTCCAGTGACTGTGCTGGTGGACTGGAGTGACTGGTGACCCCAACCTGGAGCTCTGCAAGGCCTGTCCTCTCCCAACATTCTTACTGGGACAGGAATGGATTGGATGGATGATGGATGGATGGATGGATGGATGGATGGATGGATGGATGGATGGATGGATGGATGATGGATGGATGATGGATGGATGGATGGATGGATGGATGGGTGGATGGATGGATGGATGGATGATGGATGGATGATGGATGGATGGATGATGGATGGATGGATGGATGGGTGGATGGATGGATGGATGGATGGATGGATTGGATGGATGATGGATGGATGATGGATGGATGGATGGATGATGGATGGATGGATGGATGGATGATTGATGGATGGATGGGTGGATGGATGGATGGATGGATGATGGATGGATGGATGGATGGATGGATGGATGGATGGATGATGGATGGATGGATGATGGATGGGTGGATGGATGGATGGATGGATGATGGATGGATGGATGGATGGATGATGGATGGATGATGGATGGATGATGGATGGATGATGGATGGATGGATGGATGGATGGATGATGGATGGATGGATGATGGATGGATGGATGATGGATGGATGGATGGATGGATGGATGGATGGATGGATGGATGGATGGATGGATGGATGGATGGATGGATGGATGATGGATGGGTGGATGATGGATGGGTGGATGGATGGGTGGATGGATGGATGGATGGATGGATGATGGATGGATGGATGGATGGATGGATGGATGGATGGATGGATGGATGATGGATGATGGATGGATGGATGATGGATGATGGATGGATGGATGGATGGATGGATGGATGGATGGATGGATGGATGGATGGATGATGGATGGATGGATCAATGATGGATGCATGGATGCATGGATGCATGGATGCATGGATGGATGGATCAATGATGGATGGATGGATGGATGGATGGATGGATGATGGATGGATGGATGGATGGATGGATGGATGCATGGATGGATGCATGGATGGATGATGGATGGATGGATGGATGGATGGATGGATGCATGGATGGATGCATGGATGCACGGATGGATGCATGGATGATCAGAGGGGTACGGAACTGGCTGGATGGCCATGTCCCAAGAGTTACCACCCCAGCTCCATGTCCAAGATGACACCAGTAACAAGCTGTGCCCCTGAGGGTCTGTGCTGGGGCCAGTACAATGGAATGTGTGACAGAGGCAAAATACCAGAGCCACACAAAGACTTAGGTAG